TTTTTTTCGATTATTACGATGCTTATAAATTTTGATAATTCACGTGAAAGATTTTAGTTTTGACATTTTTCATCTTTCCATAGTCGAGAAGGCACATGAAATCAAGTGAATCGTGCAGTTCGAGATATCGCAAAAATCTAAATTCTGAAACGTTTCTACAATTTTATATTTTCGTGAAATGTTTGTTATAATGGTAATGGCGTCGAACGAGAAAAATATTTGGAAATAATTATAATTAATTAAATTGTATTTAAAAGTAATTATATTTCTGATACACAAATTAAAAATAATACAGCGACTTTATCTAAAATGCTGAATCATTACTACAAAGACTTCAAGAATGAAAAAATTGCAGATATCGTATCTTGTAATCACTTCAATATATAAAAATGTAAGTGTATCCGTGGAATTTTAAAATAATGTTTTTATAAAATCACATACGTTTATCGCTTCTTTGAAAGAAACAATGAAATTCATAATTAGATATTTGTATCATTGAAATCAATTATTATCAAGTATTATCAAAACTCGTATAAGTTATTTCACTTAGAGTATTCAATCTTATTTACGATGATGAATTCTATGATGATTACAGGTGTTAAAGGTGTTTTATTTTCTATTGATGGTGTGTTTTCTTGAGAGAAAGAGAGATAGAGAGAGAGAGAGAGAGAGAGAGAGAGAGAGAGAGAGAGAGAGAGAGAGGGAGGGAGGGGGATTTTAGAATATAATAACAATATATTGATTTGACATAGGTAGAAAAGAAATATTGTTCTTTTGGAAAAATATTACTGAAAAAATCCGATTTATTTGGATGAAATGTTAAAATCCCCATTGTAACTGTTTGTTCCTCAATTATATGTAATTAATAATTATATCATTATTGATTATGTTACATGTAATTATATCATTTGGTTAATAACTGTTACTTTAATTTCAGTGGAGAAATAACTGATAGGCAGCTGAATAATATAAATGATATATCAGAAATACTTTATTTTACGAGTAATGATTGTTATTTTACGAGTAATGATTGTTTTCTCTCTCTCTCTCTCTCACTCTCTCTCTCTCTCTCTCTCTCTCTCTCTTTTTCTTCTCACAGCCAATCCAAAAACTGAAAATGGTGATAAATTGAGGAAGGACAAAACAGAGACAACTATCCACAAAGTACACCTAATTTATTCAATAGATATAGATATTTTAGAACATCACAATAACCATACAATATTTTAAGATGATCTCATATATTCTAAAAATTATCTAGTAGACACACAAGTGTCTAATGTATCTAATGGATATTTTATGAATATTTTACAATTGGATAACGTCTAGAAGATTAAAAACATATTTACCTCTCCCCCTCTCTTCCTAATAGAATGTAAAGAAATTTAAGGAGATACTATTCCGGGAACTTATAAATTGTGAGTTTCCTGCATTATACTCCTTTTTATATATTATAACTAAGATATAATAATAAAAATATTCATAAAGTTTGTATTGTGTTTATTAAATCATTAGCCAGGTAATAATGAACTAGCAAATAATATCAACTTGCCTGAGTAATAATATTAAAAAAAAGCAATTTTGAAATGTTAGTTTGGAATGCACTAGTGTATATATAAAACTGTCATGCACAATTGTTATAAAAATATTGTATTAAAAACGAGTTAAATCATAGAATTCCCAATATATTCTATTATACTGTTAATATTGGATCGTCCGGAAAGTTCGTGCCACAAAAGATTTAAATGTAATAAATGAAATTAAAAATTTAAATCTTCTGCGTTTCAATTTTCCTTCAAAATTGGCATGAACTTTCCGGACGACCCTGTGTGCGTGCGTGTGTGTGTGTGTGTGTGTGCGTGCGCGCGCGCGCGCGCGTGTGTGTGTGTGTGAGATTAAAATATGTATAGAAGATTTTTCGTTTTTGCACTCATATATTGATTTCGGCTGAGACACACCAGCTGCACGTTATCGGTGCAACTGGTGTGTTCGGTCGAATGATGCAATCTTTCGTCATTGATTACATTTCCATGGCATTCTTAATTGCGTTTAATAATATCTGTAGTTATGAAATTGATTAATCACAGTCGTTTCATTCTTCCAAGAAACAACTATGATTGACCAATTTCATAATTATGTTATTAAACCCGATTAAACATACCATGTAACAGAAGTCAGTGTCGCATGTTTATCTGCTGATCGACATTTGCGCAGATTGATCAAGCAAGGAGCAGGAACCAAGCTGAAAATCGGCCAAAACGTGCAAATAAAGATCTAAATACAAAGCGATAAAATAATTCGAATTGTGGAACGTAAGTCGTAATTATAGATTAACAAAACATTGTGCACTGACCTATGTCTACAACTAATGTTTCACGATTTAATTACAATTATTTTTGTGCCAAGACCCTAAATCCCAGCACTGTTTTATTATATCAAGAGACACGGTAGTGTTTCGCGCCAAGTAAACGCGCAGCGAAGAACGAGGCCGCACCGTCTTTTATGCGAATCGGCGAGTTGCAAACGATTGAGATTATCAGATAATAAGACTGAATGTATTTTTATTTTTTTTTTACGTGCCCTACGAACGGAGTATCGTATGACGCAAAATATATAAATTCCAAAATATAATATATAAATTTTAAGATTTTGACGTCATCGTCCCAGAATTTCGTCTCTTTTTTACATTTTTGCCATCAGATGGTATTTGATGAAAGGTTTGTTTTTTTTTAGCTGGCTTTAGCTAAATTAATTGATTGTACATACATACTAGTTCAGATTGGTACAGCTTAAAGTTCTATATTATCAGAGAAGCCACAAACGAGTTTTGCTTGATTGATTGGCTGATAGCGGCCACCAATCAAAATCGAGAATATTGAGTCTGCAAATTAAAAACGCAATGTTTAGATTATTTATTATTAAAGAATTATTACACAACAAATAAAAATTTGGATGTTAAAAGGTTCATACAAGTTTCTGTTTTATTATTTTTTATTGATATTTAAAAAATAATGATACAAAAAAGATGATACTAGAAAATTGTATCATTTTATTCAATTCAAATATATAACTTTTTCAAAAAATATATGAAATTTCTAAATTGCGGCAATTACAAACATAATATATATTTTTTTCAAACATTATCATACTACTTCTTTTAAAAAATAAAATCGAAAAAACTATATTCCAAATTTATTAACGAACTTTTCTTAAAAATAAAATCTAAAATAGTATATATATTTTTATTCTCATTTAAAGATCTTTCTATTTCCACTCAAATGATATATATTTTTCTATTTCAACTCAGTAAAATTTAATTACAATTAAAAGAGTAAAAATATAAACTTAAAAAATTTATTTCAAATATAAAAATTTTATAGTAAAAAACTTATGTTAGTGCTGCTACACGTTTAATAATACAAAATATGATATTACGACAAAATTATCTTCTAACGAAAAATACAAACGTAAAAATGAGGATATATTATTAGTATAAAGAATAAATTTCGTTACTGCTCGTGTATGCAAAGCAAAAACAAAAACAATAATGGAGGTAGTATTTAAAATATTTAAAAGCCAGCAAACCTGGGTGATAAAATTAATTATATATTAGGTGTACAACTTTGCTTCCGCCGTTTTTTTCCGAAATTTGAGGCTTTATTGTCAAAAATTGGTTATACATTTATGATTCAAAGTATTGTCCATCACTGGCCACTACTTTCTCCCATCTTTCGGGTAGCGTACGAATCCCGCGTCGAAAAAACTGGTCATCTTTTGAGGTCATCTATGGTCATCTATCCACGAATCGATCCAATTTTTTACTTCTTCATAAGACCGGAAGTGCTGGTCAGCCAGGCCGTGTGCCATTGATCGAAACAAGTGTCAGAGAGAGTCTGGAGAATACGGCGGGTGGGGTAGGACTTCCCATTTCAACGTTTCCAAGTATGTCTTGATCACTTTCGCAACATGGGCGAGCATTGTCATACTGCAAAAATCACTTTATCGTGTCTCTCGTTGTATTGCGGCCGTTTGTCTTTCAACGCTCGGTTCAAACGCATCAATTGCGTTCGATACCGATCGCCTGTAATTGTTTCAGTCGGTTTTAACAGTTCATGATACACTACGCCGAGCTGGTCCCACCAAATACAGAGCATGACCTTGGATGTCAAAATCACCGTTCTTGAAGCGTTGAAACCGCTCACGACACGTTCTTTCACTAATAGCGGCCTCACCATAAGTATTTGAGAGCATTCGATGAGCCTCAGCCGCAGATTTCTTCATATTGAAGCAAAAAATTAAAACCTCCCGCAAATGACGAGAATTTGGCTCGTAAACTGACATTTTCAATCGAGAATAACTTTATGATGCAGACACAAATCGACTAATGTTTCTATGGAGTTATGTTGACAGATGCTCAAGTTTATTGTATGACGTCTATGATCTATTTATTTCGACCACCACTTACCGCTAAAGCCATCTATAGGAAAACGGCGGAAGCAAAGTTGTACACCTAATATTAATTTATAAAAGTGTATAGACTCACGGTGGGCGTTTTTTAACTTAACTTATTATTAGTCTTCTTCAGTCGTGAATGAATTGCAAATTATAAGCACATGATCTTAACAATGACGATTGTACGGAAAAAAACATAATTTATAGTAATCGTTATTATGTTAACATAATGTGCTTATAATTTGTAATTTATTCATTAAAGAAGAGCTGCAATTTTGATCAAAATCGATGAAAAACAGAGCATAGCTTGTAAGTTAAGTCGAAACATGTACCGTGAATCTATACACTTTTATAAATTAATAAATAATTTTATCGGTGATTCATTTTTGCTTGTTTAAAGATATATTATGATAGAAAATAATAACACTTTGTGCAAACCTTATCGATATTTATATCTTTCTTTTATTATTACAGCAAGTAGCAAGCGATATCATATCGATCTTATATATACATAGATATTTCACGATATTATATTGGAATATCCTAGATATTATTTACTTAGTCGTCTTTCGAACTGCATTTAGAAATCTGGAACAATTTAGGATTTTTTCAAAATAAAGTGTGCTGTGATAGTTACGATAGTTGGTAGTTAATTCACTAAAATACAATTTTTGTGTTGTTGCTATTCAAATACTAAAAAAGATTTGAAGGAAAAGGACAAAAATTAAATGAACAATAGTTCTCAGGCACATTCTACAACTTGACCGACAAAGAACATGAGAGTTCGCGTTGTGACAAGGTTAGTGTAATGAAGAATGAGTTTATGAATTTTAAATTGTGAAAAATAAATACAATAAACATAAATCTTTTTTTATTAGATAAGAAAAAAAAATCAGGAGGCATCAGAAGCTGGAACTTTCGATACGGAAAAAACGACACAGATGAGCATAAAAAACAATTATTGCAAATAATCAACAAAATATCGGCGATTCTCAAAACAGTAGTTTCAAAAACAGTGAAGAAGATTCAAATTCAATAACTTCTAGAATGGAAAATCTCATGCATACAGATCAAGTGTTTGATTCAGCAATGTCAAGAAAGGAAGTTAGAAAAATGGCTATTCAAGAGATGAAACGAATTGGGTACGCAGTAATGATTGCAAAATCAGGAAAGTTTGCGAAGAAGTATGCTTCTTCAGCACCTTACCATTTATTTTTCACGAGAGTCGAAAATTCCCAAGAGACTCATAATCAACAGTTCTCCATAACTTTCTCCGAGATTCTCGACCGTAGTCTTGGAGAAATTGTTAACAGTCTTCATTTAACTTTTATGGTAGATGTCAAATGGTTGTATTTGCAGTATTTGTTGGCTGGTCAACGTACCAATATGACAATTCTGTGTAAACATAGAACATATCATGAAGAATTAAATGAAAATGTTACTATAATAAAGGTAGAAGGCCAGCGCGATCAGTTCTCTAGTCATCATGCGAACATCATGATTCTACAATATAAAGATGGAATTAGGGTGATTGTTTCTACTGCTGGCTTATATTCTGTCGATTGGGAAAACAGGACACAAGGGTCCGTTAAATACGCTTATAGATATTTTTTTATTGAAATATGTCTTTGTCTATATCTTTTTATTATGTCCTTATTAGATTGTGGATCTCGCCTCATCTGCCTTACCTGCCAGAATCCGCAAAGCTTAGTGATGGAGAATCTCCAACGGGTTTTAAAAAGGATCTCGAGCGATATCTGAGTAAATATGAGCAACCGGCTTTAACGCAGTGGATATATGCAGTACAGATGGCGGATTTTTCTGATGTAAATGTGTTTCTCGTCGCTTCTGTTCCCGGAATTTATGAAGCTGTTGAAGCCAACTTTTGGGGATACAGGAAATTGGCACACGTTCTATCGTGCTATGCCACGCTACCAGATGCACAATGGCCTATAGTCGCACAAAGTTCTGGCGTAGGCTGCTTTGGTTTATTCGAAAATTGGTTATTGAAAGACATAATTTGGTGTATGTCGAAGGAGACTTCTAAAGATTCAAAGAATCATCCACAGTTTCAGTTTATTTATCCGTCAATAGAGAATTATAAGCAAAGCTTTGATTGTCAACATTTAATTACTCCCTTGTCGTACAAAGCAGAAAATCATTCTAAACAACAGTGGCTAGAATCATATTTATAGTAAGTTACAATTGTTTATTTTTACTTTATTTGAATATTTATTATAACGCTTATATTTTTACATCTTAGAGGTAATCCGTTTTTTTACAGCTAGAATTTTACATTTATTTCTTAATTTTTATAGTCAATGGAAAGCTACGCGAACAGGACGAGATTGTGCGATGCCTAATATTAAATCCTATACAAGGATTTCGTCCGATTCGAAAAGCATTCCCTGGTTTGTGCTCACCAGCGCAAATCTGAGCAAAGCCGCATGGGGATCAACCAAACAATATAAAGGTTATAGTATAGGAAACTACGAGGCTGGCATCATATTCATACCAAAATTTATCGTAGGCACCATATTATTATTTTACTAATTTCTATCATATAATGCTATTAATGGATACATATTATGGAAATATGTTTAAAGCATATGTTTTAGTAGATTAATATTAATTATTACGTCTCAAACTCGTTTTAGACTGGAACAACAACATTTCCTGTTGGAGAAGAAAAAACGCCTGGTACAGACGTTCCAGTATTTCCGATCCCATACGATCTTCCATTAAGCAAATATGAATCGGGCGATAGTCCTTTCATCGACAAATTTGTCTAGACTGAATTTAATATTTCAAATGATAACACTAGTGTTTTTTATCTGTTTTAAATGAGGATGAAATATTTTTGCATTCGTTTGTATTGTACATTATTAGTTGAAGGAACAGGGCGCCGGTAAATCAATTTATTCTTATATTTCATGTAATAAGGGTTGGGAATGTTACTTTTTAAAAAGTATGCGTGACTGTTATCGTTACTTTTTGTAAAAAATAATTATCGATCGTTACTAATTGTTACTAATTTTAAAATTCCTGAGTAGTCAGGGGGGATAAGCATAATTTTTATCCATTTTTAAAGCAATTTCGTCATTTTGTTTTATTCAAATTTTTTCTTTATTTATAAATGGCACGTAATAAAAATTAATGTGTCATTTTTCGCTTCTGACATTACGATTTAATATAGCTATATGGTGACTACTCAGGAACTACTTAAAAAGTAATACGTTATCATTACTTAGAGACTAACGATTCGTTACTTGTTTAAAGTAAAATATTAGATATAATTAATAATTATTTAATATAATACATTATTTAATAATCAATATTAATTATAACAATTAATGTTAAAATTTATAATTTTAATAGCGATTTCGACTGGAAACACTGATGCATATTTAAAATCATTGTACATACTATAAAATGTAACCTTGCGAATTTCTCTATTATTTTGTAGCATGTTTTTCGCAACATTCGGAAATAATTTTGAAATTGTAAATAAACATTTTCGGTGTAATAAATCACATTATTATAGTTAACCTTAAATTAATCTAACCTGTAACTGTAAAACTAAATTGTTTTATTGAATAATTTTTGCACAATCTTTCCGATGTAATTTTAATATTCGTTTTTTTTACGTTTTATCGGATATATTCCCATATATACAGCACAAAATACTAAAAAATAATGAAAAGAGATCTTTTTTAAGTTGTCTTTCCAACAAAAAAAAGATATCTAAAAGATATCTAAAAAAATATTAGTTTTAGATTGTCTTTTCAGCAAGACGATAAGATGTCTATAACAGCTTTTAATTTTGTGGAAAAAAAACAATTTAAAAAAGACATTTTTTTGTCATCTTTCTATACGGTTGTTTTCGCATTTTCGCAAAGCAGAAAGTTGATTGAAAGATATCTTTTCCTATTGCCGAAAACAACATGAAAACTTTTATTACCCAGTTATATATAGTACCGAAAGTTTTCAGAGATATCTCAGAAATATTTCAACTGAAAAGTGAAACATTTCATAAAAATTGCAAAATGTCTGCAACATTTCTGAGATAGCTCTGAAATAGCAAAATGTCCGCAATTTTTGCACATGAAACCTTGTTGAAAGATTAATGAAATGTTATAGAAAGAATCTACAATTTTTTTGAAATAAATCAATACAATATGTTTTTTCGAGCCAACACAGATTATTAGTGTAATAATTTATCATTTTCTTAGAAAATTGAACGATAAACGTTCGATCTCTGTTTTGGGTCCTCTTCAATATAAAATTAAATACCTATAAATTAAAAACCTATAGTATAAAATTAAAATAATAAAATAATCAAATATTATGCGAGTAATTCTTCTAAAATGCGTCATGTCTGGTTCAGAAACTTCTTGAAATATTATATAATATCTAATTTACTAAAAATTTTTACTTAACTAAATTCAATACTTTAACTTAAAACAGTTTAAATTTCCCATTCATTCTAGTTTACAATTAAAAAATAATTTATTATGCTACCTTTGTACAGTCAATATACTGCAGCTATTTCATTATTAATCATTGAGCAGTAAAAACATTTTTATTATAATCAAAAAACTATGTTGTTTATTATAATCAAAAAACTATGTTTTTATTAAAACAATTGGACTTAATTAATTTGCCTAATTCCTAAAATCAAAAAGAAAAGAAATTTCGGCTATTTCTAGTACAAAAATGATGTTTAAATATGTACTTAATTGATACTTAAATAATATTTAAATTTATTATGTCGCTATAATAAATTTAAATATTGTTTAAGTATCAATTAAACATATATTTAAATATCATTTCTGAAATACTTAAAATTTATTAAAAGTTTTGGTCATTAGTCATACGCATTTGTTGTGCTGTTTACAGATTACAAAATTTATTACAATAAACTTAAAATATTTCTCAAAAATAATAATTATATTGTCAATTGTTTTGATTAATTGATCATATGTGTATAAGCACATATACGTACAATCATTATTAAAAAAATCACTTTGCAGTTTCCATACAATATCATTATTTATAGACAAAAGTTTGTCCCAATTACAACAACATTCTCGGTAAAAAATTTTTTATGCATGAATATATATATTTTAAATCACATACTGAAGAATATTGCGCTCCGCCTAATTGATCTAAAATATCGATGATGTTAGGAAGTGGATAAGCGTCGCCAATAGTTTTATCATTCAGTGTTCGAAAATCCAGAACCATTCTCCAGCGTTTATTTTCCTTCGAATCTTTCTTTTTTGGCACGATCCAAATAGGCGTTATATGGTGATTGAGAGGGTTTTAACAATATCTCCTTCTAATAATTCTTCTACCTATTTGTTTATTTTTTTCTTTATGTATTTGTGAAAAATCTCTATTGTAGAGTATTAATAGGCCTATCATCCGTTGTCGGTACCTGGTGCTATTAGTTACGATTAATTTTTCTTCGGAGATATGGAATCTGTTTTGACTTTTAATTATAAGTTTTGTTACGCTTTCCCTTTCTAGGATATTTAAATATTCCCATCGTAATAAATTTTTAATTTCATCGAGTCTGTTATATTTAATTTCTTTCATTACTAAACACTCGTACTCTCATGACTTCATTTTGAGATTGTTTTTTGTTTTTTTTTTGTTTTTACATTTATATGTGCACATAAATTTATCTATTGTTTCTTGGGACTGAATTTGTGTAGACGCAAAAATTTTTGAAAATGGTTTATTCTTCTTTGATTTATAATTATGCGATTGTGTTAATTTCATTAGAGTTAATATAAGATGGTTCATTTCGGTAAATATATTTTCTTCCAATTCAACATTTGATGATTCAGAATCTTCAAGAGTCGAGCTTTTTTCTTTGATTCCTTTAATAACATGAAATGTTGCATAGCAAAGTTTGATAACTTTCCTTCTTGCAATCAACAGGGGTAGAATATCACAGAGAGGTTCAGAAACTTTCTTCTGCAATTCTAAAATTATTTAAATTATTTGAATTTTTAGGAGAAGGTTGATAACTTCTCCTTCTAAGAATTTTGGACTTATTTCAATTTTCAGGAGGAGTTTGGTAATTTCTCCCTCCAAGGATTACGTAAAAAAGGAAGGCTATAGAATATAGAATAGTTTTTAATATTACAAATAGCGGAAATAAGATGTTATTTTTTCGAACTCTTTTTATTAATTTTTTAACGAATAATGAGCAACAGCTAAAACTTATTGGAGGTTACTCAGATCATAACCTTGACAACATATATCAAAGTCATTGGAAAGATCTCCTCTAAAGTAAACATCATTTGATATTTATACAATTCGATATAACACTTCAGAATTTAAGATTTAAAATTCTGAATTCTGTTTATTATATCAAATAAAACGCTCGCAATTATATGTACAATTTTCCAACGTTATAAGCTAATATTATAAAAAGAACAATTTATATTACACGCACAGTGAAATAATATCAATAAGAATCGTAAATCTCGCATGGGTTTCTTTGTAAGTATACTTGTATATATGTATGGAATATGACTCATGTCGTCGTAATTTTATAATATAGATCGCGAAATATTTTTTTTTAAAGTACTTGGAAGTGTATTGTTGATGTATGCAGGTTAATAATAATATATTTATATTAATGATATATTTCCTTTCATAATTATATAACAGTACGCTGTGAGCGTTTCTTTATTGTGAATAATGACTGTTGATTACGATTACGATTGATTTTCAATTATTTATTCTCGAGAAATTCCACTAAGAAGATAGAGAATAATAAATTATTACAAAAACATTTTATCTTATATCAACGATTGTAAATTCGTTTTCACCAAAAAATAAATAAAAACGAAAAAAAAACAATATTTTTATTTAAATATAAAAAGTAAGATGACTATGATAGAAAATGATGACGCTTTGCAAACCTTATCGATTCTTATATCTTTTCTTTGTATTGTTATTACTACGTAGCAAGCGATATCATACAGATTCTATATATACACAGATATCTCACGATATTTTATTGGAATATCCTAGATATTATTTACTCAGTTGTCTTTCGGACTGCATTTGGAAATCTGAAACAATTTAATTTCGAGAATTCTTTCGAGATAAATTGTGCTGTGTGATAGACATGATAATTGGTAGTTAATTTACTAAAACACAATTTTTCTCAATTACTACATAAAGTAAAGAAGATTTGAAGAAAAAAATAGAAAAAAGACATAAAAATCAATAACACAAGAGAAACAAGATAAATTTAAGCAAATGGACGAAGGAGCTCAGACACTTTCTACAGTTTTGACTGGCAAAGAACATGAGAGTTTGGAACATAACAAGGTCAGTATAATGAAGAATGAGTTTATGAACTTTAAATTGTGAAAAATAAATGTAATAAATATAAATTTTTTATTAGACAAAAAAGAAAAGTCGGGAGGCACCAGAAGATAACACTTCCGATACAAAAAAAACGAGACAGATGAGCACAGAAAGCAATGATTTCACAAACAATAATCAACAAAACATCGGCGATTCTCGAAGCAGTTTAAAAAATAGTGAAAAAGATTCAAATTCAATAACATTTGGAATGAAATATTTCATGCATACGTATCAAGTTTTTGATTCTAAAAAGTTAAGGAAAAAAGCTAGAAAAATGGCTATTCAGATAATGAAACAAATTGGGTACGCAATAATGGTTGTGAAACCGGGAAAGTTTGCAATGAAATATGCTTCTTCAGTACCTTATCATTTATTTTTCACTAGAGTCGAAAATTCTGAAGAGACTTACAATCAACAATTCTCCATAACTTTCTCTGAGATTCTCGATCATAGTCTTGGAGAAATTGTTAACAGTCTTCATTTAACTTTTACTGTAGATGTCGGGTGGTTATATTTGCAGTATATGTTAGCTGGTCAATGTACCGACATGACAATTTTGTATAAACATAGAATATGTCCATGTCATGAGGAATTAAGTAAAAACATTACTGTAATAAAGGTAAATGGACACGAGTTCTCGAGCCATCATACGAACATCATGATCTTGCAATATAGTAATGGGATTAGGGTGGTTGTCTCTACTGCTGCCTTATATTCTGACGATTGGAAAAACAGAACACAAGGGTCCGTTAAATACGCATAGATATTTCTTGTTGTCGTATGATCTTTGTTTATAAACATCTTTTTATTATGTCCTGATTAGATTATGGATCTCGCCTCATCTGCCCAGCCTGTCAGAATCCGCAAATCCTGATGATGGGGAATCTCCAACGGATTTTAAAAAAGATCTTGTGCGATATCTGAGTAAATATGAACAACCGGCTTTGACGCAGTGGATACGTGCAGTGCAGATGACGGATTTTTCTGATATAAATGTGTTTCTCGTTGCTTCTGTTCCCGGAATTCACGAAGCTGACGAAGCCGACTTTTGGGGACAGAGGAAATTAGCATACGTTCTATCGCGCTTTGCCACGCTGCCGTCAGATGCACAGTGGCCTATAGTAGCACTGAGTTCTGGTGTAGGCTGCTTTGGTTCAAAGTTCGAAAGTGGATTGTTACAAGACATAACTTGGTGTATGTCTAAGGAAACTTCTAAAGATTCAAAGAATCCTTCACATTTTCAGTTTATTTATCCGTCAATAGCGAATTATAAGCAAAGCTTTGATTTTCGAGTTTTAAGTACCCCCTTGTTGTACAGTGCAGAAAATCATTTTAAACAACAGTGGCTAGAATCATATTTATAGTAAGTTACAATTGTTTATTTTTATTTTAGTTCAATATTTACGCTTATGTTTTTATATCTTAGAAGTAATCCATTTTTTTTACAGCTAAAATTTTATATTTATTTCTTAATTTTTATAGTCAATGGAAAGCTACGCGAACAGGACGAGATCGTGCGATGCCTAATATTAAATCCTACACAAGAATTTCTCCCGATTCGAAAGAAATTCCCTGGTATTTGCTTACCAGCGCAAATCTGAGCAAAGCTGCATGGGGATCAAGCAAACAATATGGTTATAGTATAGGGAACTACGAGGCCGGCGTCGTATTCATACCAAAATTTATTGTAGGCACTATATTATTATTTAATAATTTCTGACATATCAAATTAAAGTATGTATATTACGGAAATATGTTTAAGATATGTGTTTTAGTTCTATTAATATTAATTACTACTTCAAACTCGTTTTTAGACTGGAACAATAACATTTCCTATTGGAGGAGAAGAAGATACAGACATTCCAATATTTCCGATCCCATACGATCTTCCATTAAGCCAATATGAATCGGGCGATGATCCTTTTGTCGACGAATTTGTCAACTCTCTAAGATTTAGGCGTGCAATTAAGAAATAAATAAAAAAACGTTCTAGTGCAAAATAAAAGTAATGTCCTATATTGTTTACATGAAAGAATTAGATTTATGTAATAAAAATGGAAATATTAATGCAATTCCACTATTAAGAATATTTTTAATTAAAGATAATGATAAAATATTTTTGTATGTAGGCTTACTATCATTTATATATTTTTATCGTTTTATTACTCACAAACTTTTACATTATATGTATAAGGTCTGTTTTCTGTGGTTAAACTAGTATACACTAGTGCTTGCACTCTAGACTTACAATTAGTACAGTCAGTATAGTGAACTCATGCACTGAATTCTGTTGCACTGAAACAAAACGTCGCTGATGCCATTTTAGGAACAGAAAATGCTGTAGTGTACACTTTTTGAACTAGTGCAACCAGTACAGGAACAGAAAACAAACTTTTGGACTGAATATAATATTTAACTGATGATATTAGCTTTTTATCTGTTTTAAGTGATGAAATATTTTTGCATTTGTGTTTATATATATATATATTATTGGTTGAGGGAACGGGGAGGCAGTAAATCAATTTCTTATTTCATGTTCAAATTTATTATTTCATGTTCAAATAATATTATGACAATATATTTTGCACTATATATTATTATACATTTAATAGCAATAGAATTACTGTTAAATTACGTAATATTACTAAAATTTGGATAATTACAGAAAATATTCAAAATATCCTGCTATTTACGTAATTTTCCATTTTAAAATAAGATATATTTACACAATAAAAATAAATGTATATAATTTTTGTAGAATTACATAATTCCTTCAAAATTGCATGATTTTTTAAGAGAAGGCACATATTGCATATTGCATACATGCATTGCTAATTGATCAATTTTTAAATAAAATATTATTATTGGTGCAGTGAAAAATTACTAAGCACTCAGCTGATATGAGTGGTGTGTGCAATCGGAATTGTAGGCAAACGAGATTCTTTCATTTTTTATATTAGGTATACAACTTTGCTTCCGCCGTTTTTTTCTGAAATTCGAGGCTTTATTGTAAAAAACTGGTTACATTTATGATTCAAAGTATTGTCCATCGCTGGCCACTACTTTCTCCCATCTTTCGGGTAGCGTACGAATCCCACGTCAAAAAAACTGGTCATCTTTTGAGGCTATCCACGAATCGATCCAATTTTTTACTTCTTCATAAAATCGAAAGTGCTGGTCAGCCAGGCCGTATGCCATTGATCGAAACAAGTGATAGTCAGAGGGAGCAACGTCTGGAGAATACGGCGGGTGGGGTAGGACTTCCCTTCAACGTTTCCAAGTATGTCTTGACCACTTTCGCAATATGGGGTCGAGCATTGTCATGCTGCAAAATCACTTTATCGTGTCTCTCGTTGTATTGCAGCCGTTTATCTTTCAATGCTCGGCTCAAACGCATCAATTGCGTTCGATACCGATCGCCTGTGATTGTTTCAGTCGGTTTTAACAGTTCATAATACACTACGCCGAGCTGGTCCCACCAAATACAGAGCATGACCTTGGACGTCAAAATCACTGTTCTTGAAGCGTTCTTGAAACCACTCACGACACGTTCTTTCACTAATAGCGGCCTCACCATAAGTATTTGAGAGCATTCGATGAGCCTCAGCCGCATTTCTTCATATTGAAGCAAAAAATTAAAATCTCCCGCAAATGACGAGAATTTGGCTCGTAAACTGACATTTTCAATCGAGAATAACTTTATGATGCAGACACAAATCGACTAATGTTTCTATGGGGTTATGTTGACAGATGCCCAAGTTTATTGTATGACGTCTATG